TATAGTTACATTCTCTTCATGAATAGAGGGATTTGTTCTAATGGTGTTTGTAAATAGGATATCATGTCTGCGTCTTGTACAGCAAATAACCACTAGGAAGAGAGTGTGCAATGTGTTAATTATTGAAACTGTCCTACCAGTTTGATTTGAAACTGTCTCATTGCTATTTGTTTCTCAATAAAATTGTGGGGGGAAAAAGTATCAAGGCAAAAAATTCTAGATGGTAATTCTCTGCTTAAATTTTTTACAGAAAGCTAAATGAAAAGATTTCACATTAAAGCTCAAATTTTATGGGGGCCTTTTTTTTGTTTGGGGGCTCTTGTGGTTAGGAAGTGTGAGTTAGCATGGTGACGAACATTGTATTACATATGGTTCCCTGCACTGTGGGGAGACAGTTCAGATGTTATTATCTTCTTTCTTAGATTTAAAAAATATCATGTCTGTATGTGAATAAATTCATCTTTAAAGCAGAAGTCTACAAATTTTAGAGGTGAACTATTTTTCATTAAACCTGCAGATTGTTAACTTAAAATGTGTGTGTTGGTATTTTGAGGAATTCCCTCAAGTAATTAATTTAAAAGCATTGCTAATCACAGTGTGGCCCAGAGTTACAGTGGAGCATGCTAGAAACGCAGAGTGTCATACAGTCAGAGGTCTACAAATGAGAATCTGCATTTTAGCAAGATCTATGGGTGATTCATATGCATATGAAACACTACTTCTAGGGATAGATTATAAATTTGAAAAAGTCATAGTATGGGAGGAAAAACACTTACAAGGTCAACTCTGAATTAAATTATACAGTGATTATTTGGAAATGATTTGACTATTGCTACTTGGATATCATTACATCTAATATTCTAGAAAGTCTGACCTTACTGAAAACTGGAGCCAGACCAGTAAGAGCCAAGGGCTGCCCCGTATGGCCGTGGTGCCTGAACCCTCAGATTCTGCTCTGCTGCTGGGGGTGTGTAGCGGTTTAGCTGCTTCTAACCTTGGGGCCTCTTTCATTTGTAGCCTATTGCTGGAAGACTGTAAAATCTGATTGGAAATGGCTGCAGCATGCTTTTGGCATAGAAACAAAAATGTCAGCAACATTAATAGAATGTTTAAATTCAGCAAGTGACAGTGATGACAGTCACTTGCGTATGATGACAGTCACTTGCGTAGTACGCACTGTGTGTCCCACTGTGTGTTAGGTGTGCTATGTGCACTGTCTCACTTAATCTCTGCAAGTGCCCAGGGAGGTGTTTACTCTTGTCCTGTATTTTAAGCAACAAAATAGAAGCCTAGGTGGTGATGTTGCTTTGCAGGTGAGAGCATGTTCGTCGCAGAGCCAGACAGAGCCCAGCTGGGTCACACACAGCCTGCCACTGCCTGTGATGACCCGCTGCCTCGTGTCCATGTCAGCGTGGAGAAGCATGTGGTTACCACAGTACATGATTGTGTGTGCAGTGTCTGGGGAGATTAAAGAGTTAGTAATAGGCTTAATGTTAACTGCTATCATTGGTTAGTTGCAGTTCTGAAATTAATGAAATTAATTGTTCATTTACTCTCTTTGTTTCAGGAATTAGTGAATCTTACCAAATGGGAATTTTTCGAATACTTGCTGGCATCCTTCACTTGGGCAATGTTGGATTTACATCCCGTGATTCAGACAGCTGCACAATACCTGTAAGTCCAGAACAAGCTTAATTTAGTGGCAGCTGAATTGTGTTTTCATTTTGTTATTCTTCCTTGAAACAATACTTTTTAAGTCTCTAATGCTGTCAGGCAGTTGTCAGCGAGATATTGTCCAGTGGTAATGCTTGAACTGAGTGTAGAACATATGGATTCTAATTCCTGCTGCACAGTGACTGTATTTGAGGCTGGGGGAGGAAATTTGAGTGCCTGTCTTATTCTATAACAGAAGTGGAATTGCATGTAGTAGTTAGATGGTAAGTAAAGAGAAAAAGATTTTTGCCTGTGACACAGTATACCAAGAACTGATGTCTGTATGTTTCACTGTGGAAATGTAATGTGGTTTTAAGTTAATGAAGAAACTAGTAACATCGCTTGCCCTTAGGAAGAAGAACTAAATGGGGTGTGTATGTGAGAAGCTGATTTATCCTTTTCATCTTACTGAGTGTGGTACATGCATACCTATTATCTATTAAAGTGCATAAATTCTCTTGTCTCTCTCCATATTTGAATGGGTGGGAAGATGGATGAATAAATTCCATGACCATAATGTAAATGGCCCTGCAAGATCAGACACTTGTGGGAGTTAGAGCTATAAAGAACCCTAGGCACCCCAGGTACCCCATAACAGTACCCTGTCTATGACTTCACTTTTTGGTGGTCTCAGTTACCTATGGTCAACTTTAGTCTGAAAATATGTATGGAAAATTCTAGAAATTATTCATTCAGGAATATCCCCAGGAGTGGTGTAACTAGGATGAATGGAATTCTCTTCTCTT